CCAGAGCTTTTAGATCGACCTATCCCCGCGGGGAGTCTCATTAGATTACTGTCAGATAATCCGGCTTAAATGTCCGTCCCGCCTACTGCAAGCTGTAAGAGGGTAATTAACTTTCATGTCCGCTCGGCTGACAGCTATTTAGCGTGAACCCCCAGGGAGTTAGGTCGATCTAAAGTAGATCAATCTAATCTCTGGAAATGGGGTGTTAGACTGACTGCATTCAGCAAGTCCCAGTGGAGCAAGTTAGCTATTCTAATCCTACCTGTTTTCATCATCAGGTCCACCATGAGTCTTTCCTGATGGATTAAAATGTGGGCCGGCACTGGTACAACCTATAACCATGTAACAATATATCATGTAAATATTTATTATAACAGAACAATCCACAGGAGAACTACATAATGTTCCCTACATTGAAATTACATGCAATTAAGATAATTTCAAGACCCAACAGTCTTTTTTTTAATCTTAAACTGTCTCTAGTTCCGACAAACATTATTCATTAAGAATATAAGTACAATATGAATACTATATGTGAGTACTATCTGTTAACAAAAAAATTAATCCTTTCAAATACAAGAGACAAATAAAAACCAAGCTTGTACCATTAGTGTTATCACCAAACTGATGGACATGAAATCCATGCAGTCCTTCTTTCAGCCCAGTCACCTCACCAGTCACTTTGCATGGGCCATCAGCACTCTAAAATAATAATAAAAATATAAATTACTACTTGGCATTCTTCCCATGAGTTTAAGTGTGAGTTACATATGTACGGGTGTACGGGGGGGGGGGGGGGGTATACAAATTATTCAAATTTATCACCTATCACAGTGACATCCTAACTTAGTAAACAGATGTTTCCTCGATAAGATGTGACCGGTAGGTTGGTAAATTTCAGTTTATTTGACACATGAATTTTTTTACTTTGTGGACTAACCAATCGTGCATTTCTTGTAAGTGAAATACAAATGAAATAATCTAATTCTTTGAGTCAGTCATGGGAAAATCTTTGATGCATATGTTCTTAATTGTGGGCATGTGAAAATTGGATGCCAAAGAAATATAAATAAAAGAGAGTTTCCAGTAGACACGGCAACAAGCGGGAACAGTCACGCCGTCGCCGGCGTCCTTGACCATTACAAAGACCGAATATGTGTGAACTCATACCGTTTGTTCGAAATACACAGTTCCTATCACATCTGAAGCTCCCTTCAGGACGCAAACAGCCTTCAATGCCATGATTTTTGTACGATGACAGGCAGTGGAATGCTAAAATACCGCGAACTAAACTGCAATTACTCAGCACTTCGGATAACCTCAGCTCTGTCTTGACCCCGTGACCTACTTCTCAAAACGAGGAGGCTAGAATGACGCTAGAGGGCAGCGTTAAAAGTGTCTTTTATTCTGTAAATCAACATTTGCGGTGTATTTTTATTGAAAGAAATAAATTAACGAAAATGCAAGATCCCAAAGAAGTCATATACGCTCTGACATGAATTTTATCACAAATAACATGTTCCAATTCTAAGTCTGTCTTGCAACTAAGCGCACCCACTACCGGCATGGCGGAAGAGTTGTTGAGGGAGTTTGAGCAGGCGGCACAGTTTGTCTTGGTAAGTTAAGATAGGCGAAGTTCATAGGATGTCAAACTATATCTTATCTACTTGCTGAATGTGTAGTCATATGAACATGGCTAGTTTAGTGTATGCGTTGTTAATTATATAATAACAAATCATAAGGTGTTCACAGTACATGCTGTTTCTGGGTCCCTGTTTCTGTAAACATCGCCAAGCGAGATAATTCATGCGTTAGCACTTTTAAGGATGGTCTCTGGTATGTACTGTTGTGCATGAAAGATATAGGTGCTTAAATCTGTAAAATGACGACCAGCTTTCGTGTCCACCGTGATGCGGTAGCTCCCAAATCTTTATCTCACCTCTCATCTTCTCAACTCGCCAAGTTCTGTAAAGCTAAGTAGTTTTTGTGTTGTAATTGACCGCTGAGAGGTCTGGCGCTTATAAACTGGCAAGGGACATCAATGAAGTGCACCACATTTAACCTGCTCTTGGACTTTTTTGAGCACACTCTTATTTCACCATCTGGAATCTTTACTTGTAGCATAGAACACGAAAGCCTTATAAATGTACAGTTTACCTTCATATTCAACTGAAGATTTTGATGCTTTGTGTTTAAGGCTCCTCCCACAGTTATAAACAATGAACAGAGACATGCTGCTGAGAGTGTCTTTCTTAATTTTCGCAAGTCAAAGCTACCATACCAAACTTGCAAATACATCCTTGGTAAGTTGTTGTGAATGGCAGAAGCTTTTATGAATTACTCAGTACTTAAATAAATTGATTTTATCTCCATTTTTTTTTTTGATTGATGATATTTAATGTAAGAACAAGTAACAATTAAATTGGGTGTCCAGAAATATGTGAAACAGTTTTTTTAAATAAATACACATTTCATAAGTTGCTAAAAGGATAAATTTTGATTTTTATTTTAAATTTCGAAGACATAAATAAGTGCATTGCTTACTGTTAAGATGATAAGAATTAATATTTGTTTCTTCAGAGACCTGCAAGAATGACTACGTGCTATTCCAAGCAGCGTCTACTATAAAGGAGAGTGTAGTTAGAGAGTGGACTGTTCTGGACAATGGGGATATTGCCTCACTGAGATCTTTTCTGCTGCAATATATCACTGGACACACTCAGTAAGAACAAACAGAGACAATGAACTTATCACAGGTTTCTTGTCATTAGATATTCTGTATAAGTTGCATATAATTATGATGATCCTGGAACTTTTTACATCAACAATAATACAGTATTAATAGTACTAAAAATCTTAGTTTTTTCAAAAAGGATTGTCAAAGAATTCTTTTGAAATAAGATACTGAAAGGTTTAGAGTGCTTTTAAGATTAAGCGTTTTTAAAATTCAGATTTTTGTTTCCAGTTTACAGAACTATGTAAGAGAGCAATGTGTCCTTGCTGTAGCAGTCATAATAAAAAGAGGAACTTTAGACCTGAAGGGTGGTGATAGAAGCAGCCTTTTTAATGAAGTCACTCAACTGATCAGCAGTGGAGACTTGTCTATGGTGAGCTCTGTGTGTGTGTGTGTGTGTGTGTGTGTGTGTGTGTGTGTGTGTGTATGAGTGTGTGTGTGTGTGTATGCGTGTGTGAGATCTCTATGGTGAGCTGTGCTTTGTGTATGTTCTGTATCTGTGTGTGTGTGATTTGTGTGTACGTGCACGCGTGTGTATGCATGTGTGTGTGATACCCATCTATTGTGAGCTGTGTGTATACATATGTGTGTACGCGCATGCATGTGTGTGTGAGACCTGTCTATGGTAAGCTTCTGTAACTTAATGTGATGAAGTCTTTGTGTCCGTGATTGTGTTTCATTAAAATGCTCACTAACAGATCTCTATAAAGCATTTTGTGAAGATTTGGAGGCACTTTAGGTAATATTTGTGATCACATTTCAGCAATTGATAGCCTGCAGTATCCTGACTGCTCTGTTAAATGAGTACTCCAGCACCAGTCGCTCCAGTAATGTGGGTCTCACATGGGAGTTCCACAGCAAGTGTAAAAAGGCATTTGAGGTACTGTGTAGAACTCAGAAGTGGCTTGAAAATGGATGTGTATGTTTTATATTTCCTCAATAAGATGCGACCACTCAGTTGGTAAATTAAAGTTAATTTGACAGATGAAAATATTTTAGTTTCTGTTTAAATAATCAGTTGTGTATAAGATGTAGGCAACTGTGCATCTCTTGTAATAGGTGAAATAGAAGTGCAATTGTCCCAATTTTTTTATCAGTTATGGGATAATCTTTGATGTAAATGTTATAAATTATGAATTGGTGCAAATTGGATGTCAAACAAATATGAATACATGGATATTTTTCTTACCAGGTTCATGATTTGAAGCAGGTATTTCTGTTCTGCCTACAAGTCCTCCATGAATGTGAACGGTGTGCTGAGCCACTGGGACGTGACACCACCGTCTTACTGAACAGGTTTCTGGCCATCACGGAACAGGTCTTAAACTGGGAGTTCACACCCAATAGACATATCCTTTTGATTAAAGTAGTGAGACTGCATGTTTTTATATTCAAGCTGTATTAATACTGAAATACTGTGCGATAAGTTAAAAGAAAAAGACTTGTATTTCAGTGCTGTTTTATTATTAAAATGCTGTGCTATATTCTTTTGCCAGCTAGATCATTTTTACCAAGAATACTGTATCTGCATCTTGAATTGTGAAAATTTATTGAAAGTATCGGAATAAGAAGTCATTTTCTTCATAGTAATTAGCAAATTTTCAAAGTTTAGTGTTATTTTTTATGTTAAGCAACTTTTACTGACATAAATATGCCACAGATTTCTTTTTCTACTTTAAAAGTTAAAAAGTTTAAAAGTTAAATTCAGAGACGGAGCAATTTATGTTTTTTCTTAACGATTTTCCACCTCGCCGCCATATTGGTTCATTTCAAGGCACCCAGAGTGTGTCTTTTAAGCCCAGTGAACACTGGAGAGACACCATATTAGACAAGAACTTGATCCAGTTTCTTTTCAAGGTATTTAAAACAATTTTGTTATAACAACCATATTAGACAAGAGCTTGACCCAGTTTCTTTTCAATGTATTTATAACAATTTTGTTATAACAACCATATTATACAAGAGCTTGATCCAGTTTCTTTTTAAGGTATTTAAAACAATTTTGTTGTAACAATGGAAATGAAGCTATAAGCTATTCAAAGATCTTTTAGTAAAGATCATGTATAAATTGAAATTATGTTCTTACAAGATTTATTTAATGTACAGAACATTCTACTTTCAACTTTGTTATGAAGTTAATGATTGACTGAAAAGCAGAA